CAAAGGGAGACCAAAATGAAGCATTGATTGATGAGTAGATTAGGTGGCAATGCAGGAGTGCTCCATGTGTAAAGTGAAGGCATTGTAAAAGTCAAACATTTAAAAATGGTGAGAGAAAAATGATAGTGATTATAGATTATAACCCACGAAGGACAACATTCCACATGTAGGTTGCTTGAAAGCAATGCCATAAATGCCTTGGCTTGTTGGAAGTAAACCATTGGTGGGTAGTCCCACATGAACCCACGCATTAATAAAAGCAGTGACACATGCTTGTCAAAAAAATAAATAGCAGCAACACATTTAAAACCATAAGGCCATGAGAGAGTACTTGATTTGGTACATGGGCTACAAGACAACGGAAGTTAGGGAAAACCAGCCATGATAAGTCAAATGTCAAAAAAATGCCCCACTCTCCTAGCCTTTGTGACCAACATAAATGCTCCCTAACATGGTCTTTAGGAGAGCTTCCCAAGTGGCATCTAGGAAGAGAAGGATTCAAGCATTATGACCAAAAAACAAACATTCCTCAACATGATTGGGGGTATCAGTTGATGACTCAAGAGAAACATAGGTCCCACAAAGAAAGATCCATCACACTGTCCCTCTTATCAATGTTGAAGTTTTCTTCATAAAGTAGGGAAATCCACTCCCACCCTTCTTCATGGCTGAATCAGGTAACATGGAAAACACCATGAATATATCAGACTCCACTCAAAAAAAGAGGATCTTCACCAAGTCCTTCTCAAAATTTGCCTCCAACCATCAAAAGGATCCATGAAAGGATTTCATTGATAAAATTCATTTCCACTAAGAATAAAAATAAAAATATGAATAAAAATAAAAACTACCATAACATCTTACAACAGCCTGATTGGACTAATCCAATTGCACCAACAATGCCCGAAGTGTTGAAGACCTCACGATCAAAATCACAATGCACTGACCCAACTACATTAAGACAGCATCTTCCAATTTTAGTTGCTCAGACCAACAAAATGTCCTGATAAAACCATTTCTATCCACATAATTCAGGAATCTCATCATCCCTTGGATGCCAACCTCCGTGTCCTATTCAACTTTCTCTTTTGAGTTATCTGGATCATGGCTAATATGCCACAAAGCTTCTCGCACTTTTCTTTCTTTTCTTTCCCGTGTTCAATTCCATCCGCATTTCAGATGCTCAAATCATTTTGGGAGCTATACTCATAGCTTCCAAAAAATGCAATCCTATCTACCAGAAGGAGCAAAGGATACCGCCAAGAAAGCACCAGCTATCATCTATGTTACCTTCAGAATTTTCTTATCACTTGCCCATAACTTCCTCTTTCACAGGATTTCTTCTTCTTGAAGGACCAAAATAATTTGTCCATACTCCATAGCAAATTTAACATGTCAACATCTATATAAACTCATTTTAAATGAGTTGAAGAACCACATAACTTATTTAAAGTTAAGGCACACAACAGACTAATATTTTCTTCTCTAATTTTTTATGACTAAGATTCTCATATATAAGAAACAGCAATCCACAGCACATAAGTCAACAACGAGAAGAAAATTATTAACTATCCTCAAGTGTTCCCATGATGTTGATTCATCCTATTAGCATCTGATTTTTGGAAACATAAGCATCACAATTGAGTTGATGACCAAAAAACACATGAACCTTGCCATGACTCTCACAAGCCACTAGTTCAATGAAAATTAAAGACGAAATGAAGTAGATAGAAAAGTCTTTAAGGCGACTCCTATTTGGCATACATTAAGATGATTTTGTTGTGGAGTACAAAACGGCATCAATATGATGAGAATTGCTCATCAGTTATGATATGACAGAAAGAGTGGAAGCAATGTCAATAGTCACCATACCCACAGTCAAGAAAACTGGAGGTGGGCGTAGGAAGTTAAAGACTAATGAACTTCAAGAAAGAATGCTTTTTCATTTATATCTGAGAGAAAAAACAATTAACCAATATATAAGCCAAATACAATCAATGGAGAGAAAGGGGAGAGAAAAAGAAATGAATAATAACAAGAGATGTCATTGGCAATGAGAGTAGACAAAGTGAATGAGGGGAGAAAGAGATGAAAGTGTGAGAAAAAGATAGGTGGAGATTAGGCGAAACAATTTGAACTGCAAAGAGTGTAAGACCACACTAGATTTCTAGAAAGAACAACTGAGAAAATGACTAACCATGGATGCCAAGGATGATCATTGGTTGCAGGTGAGGATAGGAAGCTGGCGAAGCAACAACTAAAAGATATATGTGACCTCATGAAAGACAAATCCAGAAGCAAAAACTCATTTTCGGAGCAATTGCACAGAATAAATTGTAGGTCACATGGGTGGAATATGCTTGGATTGTCAATGAAAAAAGAATGAAATAAGAGTGGTTCCAATCAAAATCCCTCAAAATCTAAAACACCCAATCACCAAATTGGGGCTTTTCTCCCAGGAATTTCTTTCAAATCACCCAGTCTCCCAAATTTCACCAAACTCACCACCTACTGAAAAATATACCAAAAGAAATAAAAAACAAACAAAATGACAATATCTTCACACAAGTAACATGAAAGTAATACCTCATAATTTGCCCTCAGTCAAGATCTTCCTGCCTCAACCGGCTATCACCAGCCCCATCCCCTCTATTGTCCCCTCCACTCCCACTCCCACTCCCACCCACAACCCCACCTCTTTCGCCCTGGCCCCCGCTATTCTCACCACCCCCCTCACCCGCCCTACCACTCTCACCACCACTATTTTCGCTCCCACCTCCAGCCACCAAAGCATTCAAACGCCAAGGGATCGAGATCCTAAACCTCCTCCCCTGGCCCTGCTGGCCGCCACTACCACCATCGCCGGCTGACCCTTCTCCAGAATCTCCGCCTGATTCTGGCTGCCCTGCCGGATTCCGGCGCCCCTCACCCTGATTCGGACGCCCCTCACCCTGATTTCGGCGTTCATAGTCCTGGTCATCTGTTGGCAGCTCGTACCTGCAAACCGGGCAAGAGTTATGAAGCTCGAGCCATGGCAAAATACAATCGCCGTGGTATATGTGTTTGCAAGGCAACTGCTTGGCAAACGAACCCTCCTCAAATGCATCCTTGCATACCGCACACTGGGACGTATCAGAATTCAAGAGCTCAGAGGAAACCCTAACTTCTGGGAGCGAATCGATGGCTGATTCTGATGCTGGGGGCGTCCCGTAGCGGTTGGGATCGTTCTCAGCGAGGTGCTGGATCAGCTGCTCTAGGCCGGGGCCAACAAAATAGTCATTTAGCCGAAAACCGGCAGGGGCCGCATTATCCGAGGTCTCAAAGACAACTTGGAAGTTCGGCCTCCCCTGCACAAGGGTTTGGAGGTAATCTTGAAGGAAGATTAGAGGGTTGAAGACCATGGGATCGCTCTGGTCGTGGACGGCAAAGACGTCATCCGGGTTGCTGATGGGCCGAGAAGGGGGGGCAAAAATGCGCTCGCGACCGGAAAAGTGACCAGAAAATGGCTCAAAGAAGTTGAGGAAGGGGTTAGGGATAGAAGGAGGAGGGGATTCGAGCTCTTCCAAGAAGCCGCCATGACAGTTAGGGCAAACAAGATCGGCAGAGCCAGAAGGGGGAGGAGAGAGATAGACCGTGCGGGAGCATTGGTGGCACCAGAAGGATAGGGAGGGGGGGGCCGCCGCGTTGGCGGTCGTCGACATGGCTGGGACTTTCGGAGCTTGGAAATACGAGGAGGGTTAGAGATTTATGGCTTTCTCTCTCTACTTTTATCTCTCTTCTTTCTCTCTATTACTTGGGGGGTGTATTGTCGAACAAGTTGGAGCTGGGAAAGGTTTATTTGGGAATGAATCCACGAAACCTTGGGCCTTACATTTACCACCTCTCTTTCTCTCTCTTCCGCTCTCTCCTTTTTTTCCCGGCTTCCTCTCTCCTATTTCTTTCCCGTCATTTGTGCCGTCAATTCTCTTTTTCTCTCTCTCTCTCTCTCTTCCTCTGCATTTCTTTCGTGTCTATTGTTTGCCTTTCTCTCTCTAGCTTCTCACACTTGCTATGCGGCCCCAGTGTACACACCTGAATTTTTTTTTAAAACAAAAAAATTCCCACAAAATGTTAATATTACGCACGTACTCTTTTCACGCACCTTCCCCAAAAATGCGCTGATTTGCTACTTTGATATTTTCAAGCTTCTCACAAGTGTATACTGTTACGAAAACTTCTATAAAAAGTTGTACCCTCAATATTTAGAATCAAATATCCACCTCAAAAAATCCATCGGGGTTCTGATTTGTTATAAGGGTGTGGTTTGTATAAGGTTGAGGCCCTCAACAATCAAAGTAAGGTGCACCTTCATTCATACAGTGTCTTTAGCATTGAAAATCTTTACGATGGCCTAAAAATTTATTTTTATCTCTAATTATAAAACTTAAAGCTTCAAAAATAGTGTACATCGAGTAGATCTATGAACACCGGAAAATATTGAAAATCGATGATTCAAAAAATGTGTTGCTAAATGCACTATTTTCAAAACTTGGTTTCTATTTTTTCTCATGTCTACACATCTTGAGTTCAAGATGATTGATTTTAGGAAAATTGATGATATTTGGACATCAAAACAATCTCTTCTAGTTAATTTTTTGAGGTAGGCTCGAATTTTATTGCTTAGAGCCTCAACTCTATATAAACTTTTCTCTTTAAAAAATATCAGTGGGGTGGTATTAGCAGTGAGAATAAAAACCACAACATGTTGACTAGGGTGCAGTAGGGGTATTACCACCACCACCTCGGCCCCTTTCCCAAATGCCAATTGTAGATTGATGTTCGTGGCGATTGTGTAGGGTCTAGTCGATGTACCTTGGACTTGAGTACATGATTCGGACCTCCCCATGGGTTGGACTCGAGTTTGCCACCTGAACTTTAGTACTTGTTAGGCTAGGCTTGGGTCCTAGTTCCCGAATTTGTATGGTTATCCAAAGTTTAAAACATAATTTATAATTAGTATAATCAATTTATTCAAGCGTGTGGTTTCCATAAGGTTGCAACTTTAAACAATCCAATTAACGCGCACTTTCAAATTTGATCATAACATATAATTTTGATGTAAAATATTCTTAGGATTATCTCAAAATCTATTATCATATCTAATTATAAATTTGTAAACTCCAAAAATGGTTAAAATCAAGTAGATCTATAAAATTATGAAAAGTTTTAAAATAAATAGTCTAGATAATGTATTGTAAGATGCATTATTTATAGGACTCAAAATCCCTTTTTCTTTCATAATCATACATCTCGATGTCGAGATGCTCAATTAGAGGGTTTTTCAACGTTAAAATAATATTTTCCGATGGATTTTTGAGGTGCATCCACAGTTCTACATTTTAAGGTTGCAACCTTATATAAACTCTTTCCTTTATTAAATAATATCTATCTTCTTAATAAACACCTTGTTTATCAGGGTAAATCACATGGTACATCCTCTTTATCTCCAAAAAAATTTAATCAAATGACTATTTTTCTCTCTATTTTTTAGTCAAGGTTACCTAAAGCTAGTTGGATAAAAGCTTCTCTAAAAACATTTCATATTTTAGACTATATATTTTATGAGTAATGATCCTATGAGATCCTCCCACATCCATGTGTATAGGACCCCAAATGATCACCATTGAATTTGGCATAGACCTCTAAAAAAGTCAAGTCCCACACCCATGTGATACCTCTTTTAAAGATACGTGCCAAATTTAATGGTAATCGTTTGAGGTCCTACACACATGGGTGCGGGAGGGTCTCATAGGATCATTACTCATATTTTATTAGGGAAGTTTAAGTAAAATTCCATATTTTGCAAAACTGAAAAATAGTTCATATTTTTTTTTGGATACAGTTTAAACAAGGTTGAAACATTACTTCTAGAAGTAAAGTTTTGGTGTTCTACACTATCTATTTAAGTTAGATGATGTAGATTTGATTTTTCTTTTAAGACAATATTAAAAAGCAACACGTCTTTTAGAATACTATCAAATCTACACCCTCCAAATCAAATGGACGGTGTAGATTATCGCAATTTTATTTCAACCATGTATATTTTTTATTTTCCTTTCCTATTTCCTTTGCTAAAGTTCCTTTCTTGTTAGATTTTTTTTTTCTTTTTTCTTCTAAAATACGTCCAAGTTTGGACCAATAATGAATTCGACAATTGAAGTTCTGATTCGATTATTTTTTAAGTAAAAACATGAGTGTGTAACCTGCTATTTTTATGTAAAAACATGTGTTTCGAGCAATGCTATCAAAATTTATACTCTTACCCTATACCCTAGATAGCCGAAATATTTGGTTCAGGCAAAGTGAAGCTAATCATTTTCCACTAAAATGAATATAAAAACAAGGAAAGCACTTCGTAATGCTTATGGGAAAAATTGGATAGTGATTTCACCTAAAGACCCGTTGTCATCCATTTTTGCGGACAGTGGGGTGTGGCACCGTATCGGCTCTAATAAAACCTGTGCAATGACATCACAAACATAACAGGTCCGTAACGGTTAAAGGGTCTTCGCCTTGAATTATAGCAACTCTATAAAAGCTTTGTAGGGCGAAATTACTGTAGACTTTCACCTATGGACAAAGAAATTTCCTACAAGTAAAGTTTTCAAAAGTACATGCTACATATATAAAAGAGACTATAAAACATGCAAAATTTAAAAAACATAACTCATAATATTCGTATTCTCATCAGCCATGCCCTTGTATTAAAAATTTAAAACATTTTACAAAAGTGCCAAAGTCTTTGTGGCTTTAAAACTTCACCTAAAGACTTATACTGAATAATTCGAAGAACCAACTTTCCTGTCCAAAACAAAAAGCTCCCCGAAGCTAATATGACAACATTAATTCCATGTTCTAACCCATTTTCCAGGCAAAGTGAGCATATATTATACTATTGCAATATCATTATTGCGCCCTCTCATCGGGCAAAAGAGCTACTTGGTATGATTATTTGGATCTTAAATTTTGGTATTCACCTAAAAAAACATTTGGATGATTATTAAAAAAATAGAATGGATTTTGAGTTATTAAACAATCAGTTTTGATTATCCATATATTGGACGGTCTTTGTTCAATCTAACGACATTATCATTTTAGGCACAAATGAAATATAGTCATAATTTTTTCTTTTTTCTTTCATTGAGGTTGGTTGCCGGGCTGAAGATGTTACATCCCAAAATTAGACTTGAAAATGCTCCGGGATTTGATTTTAGTTGAGGAATCAACTCCGGAATATGCTTCCCTTGAAGCATAGTATTCATGTAATTTAATTTAGAAAAAGGTGGGCTCAACATTTTAAATGTTAAAACCAGTGGTGCCTTGCAAGAAATAAAAATATGACAAAATAGAAATTAAATATAATAAAGTTTGGAAAAAATATATAATGAGATCATTTACCTTTGATACAAGGTGGTCACAATTAATCTTGGTCGCTAGATGTAAATTTGGTGACTACATTTATTTCATTGACCAAACTCAAAGGTTTAAAAAAATGTTAATGAACTTTGTGACACACCTAAGCTATTAGATTTCATATCACATAGTTGTAAGTAATTATGACCTTCATGTACCAAAAGTAAATTGTCTCATTGTATATAATCCCTAAATTTTAAGCATGAAAATATATATTTATATAATTTTTACTTAAAACTTCTTATTTTGAAATATGATCCAATCAATTCCACCAACCACCCATGATTTTTAATAACCAGATTCCTCATTGACTCGATTGCATGTCCATTATGATAACAATAGCTATGGAAGGTACTAAATTGGATCTCAATATTTGCTAAAATGCTTGCACAAAAATATGGGCAGCATATCTCCTTTAATCTAAGCCCCAACTTTATATTTTTTAATTAAATCCCTTAGACGTTTTTTCAAATAAATTACGAGTTAGCTTTTTGAAAGAATGTGTAGGGTGGCATTAGTGGTGGGAATGAAAACCACAATATAGTGACTAAACTAGAGTGTAGAGGTGCTACTTTTAACTGGAGTATCTAGTTCATTTTGTTTAACATTTTAATAATTTCGGAACATACCATCATAATTTTAAATTAATTAAAAATTTATCAAAAAAATAAAAAATAATTCCAATATTGGTAATCGTATCTCCTTAAGACTAACTAAAGGGTGTGGTTTGCATAAGGTTGCAGACCTTATACAATTCAATCAAGGCACACCGCTAAATTTTATCATAAATGTAATTTGATATAAAAAATTATTAGGATAGTTCAATAATCTATTTTTATTTTTAATTATAAAATTTTAAACTCTATAAATGATTCAAATCAACTAAATCTATAAAAATATTGAAAATGGACCGTTCAGATAATTGCTTGATACTATTTCGTACACACAAAATCTTTTATTTTTTTTATATTCATACATGTGGATGTCTTAGATAATCAAACAGAGGGTTTTTTAACACCCAAACGATTGGATTTTGAGGCTACATTTTAAGGTTGCAACCTTATTTAAGCTTTTTCCTTAACTAAATAATATTTGATAAAAGGAAGAGGCAAAGGAGAGTCAATACATGCGAAAATCTTGACCACACATATGGGAGCAGCCTTCTGTACTCTCTCTCTCTCTAGAGATAACGGCGACCAAGGGCCAATAGTACCACTCTGTCAACAATCGTAGCATTGCCACACTGATTCCTCGCCGGATTTTCAGTTCCCAACAAAAGTTCGCCGGAAAATGGTGACAGCCAGCTGCAATCCAACGAACCCAATTCAGTTTTCTCTCGCTTCTTCACTTCAACCTCGCCGGAGAGTCCAGACCTGCTGTGTTCTCCACTACCACTCTTTTCCAACTCCATGGAAGAGATTCAATTTTCCTGCAAAAAATGGGTTGAGGATCCGAAAAGTGAGTGGAATTAGGGGTGGGTTTTCGAGAGGAGAATCGACTGTGGTTTGTAAGGTTTCGACAATCGATCAGAGCGAGTTTGAAGATGTGGTGTTGAAATCTGAGGTCCCTGTTCTTGTTGATTTTGTTGCAGAGTGGTGTGGGCCTTGCAAGCTTGTCGCGCCTGCCGTGGATTGGGCTTCTCAGGCATGTTTCTCTCTCTTTTGCGGCGCCCTACTTCTCTCTCTATCACTGTCTGTGGCTTTCTATTAGTGATAAAAGCTTTGGTTTATTATATCTTATGAGAGTTCCTATAGTTGTCGAGAATCCTTAGTTGGGGTTGTTTGAATGGTTTCGAGTAACATTCTTTGACAGAAAAAAAAAAGCGAGTTTTTTGTGAAAGTCAAAGGTAATTTGCAGTAGAATTTCAAGTTTCAATAGTTTGTCATGAGAGAGTGTAATATCCAGTCCACTTTCAAGTTTCAAGAGATTGGTAAGAGAGAGAGAGAGAGAGAGAGAGAGAGAGAGAGAGAGAGAGAGAGAGAGAGAGAGAGATTGTTGGTTTCTTCATGGATTAGCAACCTTTTTAATGGTTGGATTGATTTTACTATTTAGACATTTGTTTGAAACTCTGGGTTGTGCAAAAGCTCGTGCTGGGTACTTGGGAACGATGTGAAATTTTGTTTTACTAGTGATGGAGTAAGCCAAAATTGTAGTGCGTAATTTTCCAGCGATCTCCATGTGGATTCCATTTCTGCAACAATACCGAACATATTTTCTTACAAATGAAAGATTCAAAAGAAAATTGAAGGCAAATTGCACCGTGTAAATTTTCATAATCACCATATGAATTCCATTTCTGCAACAATACCAAGATTTTGTTGTACAAATGAAAGAAAATTGAACCAAATTGTAGTTTATAATTTTTTTAAGTAATCTCCCTATGAAATCCATGACAGCAACAGAACCCAAATTTTTATTTTACAAATAAAAGAAAACTGAAGTCTTGGTTACAAGTCTTTGTTATTTATTTTAATTCATTACATGTTATAGGACGCTAAGTGGACATGGGGAATTCCTTTACCTCCTTCCCATAATCCTTAACTTCTGCTACATCTAATTTCCAGAGTGTTGTTTATTGTTATTACTATATCCGCCACGCTCCCATGTAATATAGTACTAATAAATTTTGAATAGTGGTGGGTTGAATGGGGTTTGAACTTCAGCTTTGGTGACTAGCATTCATGTACACTAATCATTAAAGCCCGAACCAGCTAGTTTATTATTACCAATATGTTAATTAAAAATAATCTCCAAAGTGTTATTAGCAGTATGAGGGCAGAACTCTGAGAGTGATCCACATATGCTAAATTACATATGATTGAGGTTCATGGCTTAAGACCTTCTCTGGGGTGTAACACTTATTTTTCCATCATTCTTTGCTTATTTGTTGATTCCTAATTTCTTATCTCCCGCTCCAAAATCCTCTCGTGAATACCTATGCTCCGTGTATGTGTGTGTGTGTAGCGTCCACAGACATGAACGCACAATGTGACATCATCTCCCTATTTTCCAACCGCAATCATTAATTGCTCATCTTTCAGTCTTATCTGAGCCATGATTTCTTTTTCTTTCTGCAGAACGTCTCTTATTTTCTATTTGACACTATTTCTCCTGGTTTTTCTCTCATTTTATATTTAACTGTCTTGTGTGCTTCTGATCTGCATTAATAACTGATCAACAAACTAGACCATCAAATCAAGTGGAAAAGGAAAATATACCCATTACTGAAATTGATCACAAGACGACCGTTCCTTGTATTCTAGATTCAGCAAACTTTTAATGGACATTCATACGTGTAATTGTTCAGCTGCTAAAGAAAATGGGTGGAATAGGAATAGATCCTACAATTGACCAAAAAGGTGACGGATACAAAGGTAGGTGTATTTGTTAATCAAAACTGAAAATGGCACCAACTTACTTGATTGTTCTGAACTGCAGAAGTGGATAAAAATGTTGGAGTCAATTGAAGAGAAAAAGGAATAGGTGCTACCTAACTTGATTATCACAGTGAATGCAAATGAGAGTATGGGCTTGCTCACCCAAAGCAAGACATTGGTGCTATTTAAATTGATTGTCAGCAATGGCACAACTAGATCAATAATGCTAGAAGCCATTGAATAGAAAGAAAGAAACTGATGTCATCTAACTTGATTATGTCCAACCACAAAACTTGATTGGAATAACAAGACTTGATCAGAGAAAGAGGGGAGGAATATTAAAGAGAGTGAAAGAGTTAGTGAAAACAAGAGACGGATCGTGTGAAAATTAAGAAACGAGGGTTTCTGCTAAAGGAGTACCGAGTACTAATGTGTGGCTGAGAGGATAAACATGGAAAAGAACTCAATACTTGCCAACACATATATATAGATATACAAACAGTAAAACATAGAGAGAAAAGGAGGAGGAGTGGTGGTGGTGCGGTCTGTTTATATTTAACAGAATTATGTGCTTTAAGCCTTAACTTGCAGCCTTTTGTAAGCGAGAAGGTTTCATGGATCTAATTTACTGCTGTACAATGATACATTTTGAAAACTGGCCAATCTGAGGGCTTTCGGGGATCCCTCAATAGAAACCAATTCATTTGAAATAAGGTGATTACATCATAGCCAACCATGTGTCTTGACTGCAGCAACTAGCAGTTATAATTCAGTGTCTAAAAGATCACCGGCTCAGCTAGGGACTTGCCTGAGTCTGCTCGGATCAGAGGCATAATGAGTCCGGAGGAGAAACCCAGGGACTTGCCCCAAGTTGGTGATTTTTTAAACTAATTTCTAATTTGTTGAAGTATTACCGGTCTGGATTGGGACTCACCCAAACCAGATTGGATGACATGGGCTCAGGACTCTAGCAAGTCCCAGACCAAAACCATGTTTTTAAACACTGGTTATATTCACTACACATACATTCAGACTTTCAATCTTATGCCTCTATCCCAGCTCGAGGGGCATTGTAGCATGCGTTGCATAACATAAGGAGCAATATATTTATCATCAGACACATGCACACGCTAGCTAATTGGACATGTGCCCCATTGTAGGTGTTCTCATGCTGTTACTATTGTTAATTTTATTCATACATTGTGTTCATTTTAGAGACAGAGAAATTGGGTTAAAGCTTTTCTGAGATATTCCTCATAAGTTTGCGGGAAATTTTGCAGGAGTATGAGGGAAGGCTGAAGGTTGTCAAGATTGATCATGACTCGAATCCCCAATTGATTGAACAGTACAAGGTTTATGGCCTGCCCACTTTAATCATTTTCAAGAATGGGCAGGAAGTCCCTGGAAGCCGAAGGGAAGGTGCAATTACAAAGATTAAACTGAAAGAATACCTTGACTCCTTGTTAGTGTCTATAACAGTCACATAATTTGTAGAAAACAAATGCCATGATTTTTTGTTACATACCACTGAGTGAGGTATTCAAGTGATGTTGATGATGTCCTATGGTTTTTAACATCCATTGAATTGTATTATGAGTTCTCGGACTTTTATTCTCAACACGGTCATTCATGCTTCTGAGTATACACACATACGCACATGCATACATGTACAAAGACTTGACATAAGATGTGGAATAGGCTGCACTGTGTAGATGGACTCCAACCAGGACCTCAATATACCTGGGTCAAGTATCCTGCTATACAGGAATCACCATATTCAGATATTGTTTATGCACTGATAAGCTAGTGTTATAGAAATTGAATCAGTGGGTCAAACTGGTCAGCCATCGGTTCTCAGCCAGCTTGGAACTGCTTGAACAGCTCGCTGGCTCTCTGGGGTGTTTCTTTATTAAAAATTAAGAAAGAAATAAAAACTACCCCTGAAAACTGGTGGGAATTGGGTAAAACCGGGAAGTAGTAGACCTGAACGGTACCATGCTGGTTCCCAGCCAGCTCAGTGATGTGATTTTTAAAATACTGGATGTGGTGCTGCATGAACAAAAAGTCATATAACCTGAATGCACTTGGTTTCATGTGCTTCTTTCTTCAAAGCCGTCTGTTTACTTGGCCAAAAGTTAAAATCAAAACATGGTATGTGATATTTAATTATTGAGACTTCTCAAGCTACTATAATACTACTATTATTGTTATTGTTATTATTGTTGTTGTTCTTGTTCTAACTGGCTTCCGCACCTTCTCCACTTTCTCCGGTCTTCCATTAGTAAGCACTATGCTCCTTCCCACCTTTTCCATGTAAAATCATTCAACTTGCAACTTTCCAAAATAAAGACAATTTGGTTTCCTATTAACTCACTGGGAAAATGATCATTATGAGAAAAAGGAAAAAAAAAAACTCGCTTTGCTAGTATCTATGTTAATCAGGTTGAGGCTTAGCTCAATTGATAACAGGGCATATTCTTTTAGAGGTAGATGTTCTCTGGCACCATATGACCATTGACAACACGAAAAAGAATTTTGTTTGGGGACTCAACTTTGGATAGAACGTATGTACTGTAGAAGAATGCAGATCTATTGCAAAATTTTACCAATTTTATTCAAATAAGAATGTGGCATTTCTCAGTTTACAGAAAGTAATATGTTATCATCAGCATACAAAAAGTACAGTGGTTGTTCTTTTTTGTGTGGGTAAGCCATAATTTGAACCTTAAATGCTGGTGCTTCTGTTAAAATTCCTTTGAGAACTACTCTTTTTTTGCTATATTGAACTGGGTTTGAACCCAAAACCTCAAGGTTGCCGCAACAAGCTCTTCCCCTGTTGGGGGTTGAACCCCTCTTTCACCTTTTGACCACACCCCAATTGTAAAAACAAATTTTAAAGGCATCCACCATGGTGTGCTAGAAATGAATGAGTTCCACCGTTCACCTGTATCCAACTACACCCAGGCTTCTTCTGCACTTCCCTTTCATCCATAATTTTCCTCACTTTATCCACATCATCCCAACTATTCACATTTGCAAACATATTCGATAATAAAACATATGTTGAAGGGTCTTGTGTATCCAAAGCAAGGGCGCTCTTAGCCGCCCATTTCCCCGTCTCGAGATCACCATGTATTCTACATGCTCCAAGCAAAGTTTGCCATACCATAACACTAGGTTGGCATGGCATGCTCTCGATCAAGGCTTTGGCCTCCTTTATCCTCCCTGCTCGACCTAGCATGTCGACCATGCATGCATAGTGGTCATCTCCAGGCTCAATTCCATAGTCATCTCTCATGGACAAGAAGTAACTCCACCCTTCATCGACCAACCCTCCCTGACTGCAAGCATAGAGCACACATATGAAGGTGATATGGTTTGGATCCACACACTGATCCCGCATTCTATTAAAAAGCTCGATGGCTTCCAGTGTCCACCCATTTTGCGCATACCCCATGATCATGGTGGTCCATGTAACCACAGACTTGTGGCTTATGCTCCTGAACACAAGCCCCGCATCCTCTGTGCTCCCACACTTTGCATACATATCAATCAAGGCATTATCAACGTAGAGGTCAGCTTCTTCCCCTAACTTCACCCTGAGCCCATGAGCCCGTTGGCCTTCTCTTAAGCTTACTAGACTGGCACATGCATTAATGGCCATGGCTAATGTGAACCGATTTGGGCCCACACCTTCTAATCTCATCTGCTCATAGAGGTTGAGAGCCTCACCTGGGTGACCTAAGTGCAGGCAACCATTAGCCATCTCGGTCCAGGAAACAACATCCCTCTCCGGCATCTCTTTGAAAGCTTCCATTCCATCCATTAGAGCGCCACACTTCAAATACATATCAACCAATGCGTTCCCAACACATTTATCATCTCCATGACCCAACTTCACTAGCTGGCCATGAACCTGAAGACCTGGTTCTAGAGAAGAGCATACACCCAAACCAGTCAAAATGCTGGCAAAAGTGAACTCATCGGGTTTGATTCCCTCACCAATCAACTTTCGCCAAAATACCCAAGTACCATTTGGCGAAAGCTTGACATAACCATCAATCATCGCATTCCAAGAAACAATGTCTCTTCCTTGGGTTTTCTCAAAAAACTCCATGGCTTCATTTAATTCCCCAAGCCTTATCAGGGCAGTGAGATAGGAATTGGAAAGGAAGACATTGAGCTCGAAGCCTAGACGCACAACTTGGGCATAGATTTGCTTAACAAGCTCTAGAGTTTTCATGAAGGAGCAGGCATTGAGGGTACTCACTAGAGTGAAGTGGTTGGGTCGAGTACCAATTCTATGCATTTCTCTGAAGAGCAAGACGGCCTCAATGTAGTGGCCTTGTTGCACCAAGCCTGCAACCATGGCAGACCATGAAACCACATTTCTTTGAGGCATCTCATCAAACACATTGAAACCATCTTCTGTATTGCCACACTTTGAGTACATGTTCAAAAGATGGTTCCAAATGAAGGTGGTTTGGAGATGGGGTAATTTTATAATCTTTCCATGAAGAATTTGGCCCTGTTTTTCTGATGTCCTTTGCAGTATTTCGCCGTATAATTCTTCATTGGAAGTGTTTCCGTGGTAAAATTTGCTCCCTGCTTTAACCGCCAGAGGAACACTGTGAAGTTGCCGGAATTTGAATTTCCGGATTGGTATCATGCCAAGCTCTTCAAAATGAGTTAAAAACATTATCAAATATTCTACTCAATACATTCAAATGAAACTCAGAGAGAGAGAGAGAGCTGAGCAATCTCTCTCCTATCTTTTCGCAATTTAGTTATGACCTTAAAACAATCAATTTCAGGTCTATTCTCGTAAAATAATAAAATGAGTAAATGCTTTTCTTTTGAGAGAGAGAGCGCGTAGTTCTTTGGCTTAAGTAACTTTTAAGTGCAAGGAGAAAATAAATTACTTACCCAAGAAAAAGGAGAAAAAGAAATTTAAAAAAGCTCAATGTTCCTGATATTCTATTTTCTATGCTTTTATCCTATTTTTTTGGAGCATTTTTAATGGAGTTTTGCTTATCAATGGGACAAGAACCTAAAATATAAAATGTTAAGAAAAATTAAAATACAAAGTAAAGTTGACAATGCAAAAAAGTTAATATTATTGATCTTCCTCTCTGTATAAAAGAATACACATATCTATACTTTTTTCTAAACATGTTAATCAGTTCCAAACCAATAGCATCTTTTTACCCGACATGTTTTTGGTGGTTTTTTTTTTATTGCCTTTTTTCGCAAAGAACTATTGACTGTTCCATGCTAGGACATCAGGCATAGCTTTTCACTCAATAGTACTAGCTTTCGATGTCAAGTGTGGACGGTGGAAATTTGGTGCATCTTTTAAAATGTTTTCAAATTTTGATGCATCTTTTAAGATGATGTCATATCTATAGTGTCCAACTACAATAAATAGTGGACAATACTCTAATCTTATTTTTATAAATAAATTTTAAAAATATTATAGATTCCTTTTTACCTACTTTCTAGACATGCCACCCTTAATCACACTCTTAACCCCAAAATTCTTTATTTTTAGATTACATTTTCCACTTTCTCTATCTAAGCCCATCCACACAAAATGCGCCGCTCTATATTCAAGTTGTGCCAAGGCGACAAAACTTGAATATGGAACTGATCTATGTCGGACTGATTCTATATTCAAGTTGTCGAAGTCTGGCACATTTTTTTGTCAAACCGATACATGTTGGGTGTCACGCTTTGGAATCATGGGTTAAAATAAGGAAGCATTTTGGTCTATTTTTTTTTTTTGTTTATTTTTTTATTTTGAGGAGTTGTTAAAAAAATAAAAATAAATAAAATGTGAGAGTTACTAGTGTGGTATCAAAAATATTGAAAGAATAAAAAATGTTGAAAGAAACTGCCTAGAGGGTACAAATTGGGGAGTTTTATAATTTTCTCTAAATTAAAATAAAAATAAAAGGGCATGAAATGTGTGGGCAAAGTTTGACCCGCTTCTCTAAATGTTTGAGCGCTCCAAAGATGTAGTGAGGAGGATTTTTTAATTTAAAATTCTGTAGGTGATGTTTAGCCACACCTAATGTTATTTGTATTAAAAAATAATTTAGAGCTAAAGAAAATCTTTGAAATTATGTAGATGATCACACCAAACATTATTTTTATTAAAAAATGATTTAGAGCTAAATAAAATACTCAAAATCCATTTAAAAATTGACCTTCAACCATCCTTGTGAGGTTTTTTTTTTTTGGCTGAAATTCTCAACCTTGAAGTGACAAAGGCTTTTACATTAGTTGGCTTGAGCCGGTTAAATTACCAAAATACGTAAACTTATTAATCATCTTGAATGTGGCATAATCTACTTAATTAGGGATAAATTATCGAAATCCTCGTGTTGGTCAATTATCTCAAGAGAATAACTTTGACATTTTTATACAAAAATCTTTGAGCATAAGAAATCTTAACCTCCCTTAACTCCAATTGGATTACATTTGCTCGAATCCGATCAGGAAATGATTGGGCCACTCTAATTCGTACAAGAATAGGTCAGTTCCTGTTATAAACAGACCAATTCCGACATTTTTTAATTATTTCTTAATTTTTTATCTAGTTCTATACTCTTTTTTTTATTGCCCGATTCACTCGGCTTGATCGCCACTCTGTCGATGCGACCCGATTTTCGAGGAGCCGACCCCTCAAACCAGTGTTTGAAAACTCGCAGAGTCGAGCCGGACTCGTCCGGTTCGACTCGAGAATCGCCTGCTACCGAGCCGGTTCCACGAAAAAACCGGTAATCGCCCGTGTCCAGAGAGAACCAGGCGATTCCGAATAGTGAATCGCGAGTCTCACAGAAAAAACCGGTATTTTTTTGGGTTTACAGGTGGCAGCCTCACGAGTGACACGTGGCCACCGCACGAGAGTGACATGTGGCCACACGTGGTAACTCATCTCACGTTTGCCTCCCTCACTTTTCTACATGCGCAACAGAAAGTCTAATACACATGACTTTATAGAGAACCAAGCAACACTCACCCTTCGATGTGAGATAATTCTCACAAAAAGTCATTAAAGCAATATCATTGAATATATATTATTATGGAAGCTAGAAAAATCACATGTGGTGAAGCGGCCTTGTTGGTTGACAACACTGAATTTTGGGTATATGTCTTGAGTTCGAACCCATAGCAAACACCAAAAAAAATTTTGAGTTCAAACCCCTTAGTGCACAACAAATTTTTTTTTTTTTGAGTGCGAACCCCTTATAAAAAATACTATTGTAAAAAAAATAGAAAAAAATATAAAATAAAATACTATTGTAAAAAAATAGAAAAAAATGCTATTGTAAAAAAATAGAAAAAATATAAAATAAAAGGCTCTTCAAGATAAAGATAAAAAAGATAATACAACATTATTTTATTTTTGTTGTCAAAAAAATAAATAAAGGCAAAAAATACTGTGGTAAAAAAATAAAAAAAAAATAAAATGAAAGGCATTTCAAGATAAAGATAAAAAAAATAATACAACATTTTTTTTATTTTTCTTGTAAAAAAAATACAAGGTAATATAACAAGTATTTCTTGCAAAAAAATAAAACAAAAGGCATAAAAAATTAAAATGTACTTTGGCAGCATCATTATTTTTCTTGTAAAAAAAATAAAAAGTAATACAACAAGCAAAAAAAAATACAGTACAACATTTTTTTCTTTTGTCAAAAAAAAAAAAAACAAAGATAATCAACAAGTATCATATTTTTATTGTAAAAAAATATAAAAGATAACACAATAAGTATTTCATGTCAAAAAAATAAAAGGTATTTATTCATACAACCTAGGAATAAATAGTCTAATTATATTTTTTATTTTTATAACAAGATGG